CTGAAACACATACATATACCTACCTCTGCAGGACATGTGGGCGGGCGGGACTGTACGTTTTTAAGAATCGCGGCTGTGATTGGGGGGGCGACCGGAGAACTCGTAGACGCGACTTTGCGACCTTGCCACCACGACGCCACGGCCGTACCGATGGCGAGCCGCACACGGGCACGCCCCTCGCGACTCGAGGCTACCGACACGCGCAAGTCCGGCGGCGCAACGAGGTCCACAGGCGGAGAAATCGCAAAAAAACAGCTCTAGGGCGCCGAGAGCGCAGGAAGGCCAAATGGCGGCCTCTCACGGCTCGAGTATGAAAGTATATATGTTTATATATGTTCCCTTCGAGAGGAAGACATCTCCAAAGGGTTGAGGACAGAACAAGTCTCCATCAAATAAATACCGAGGGGACATGAGAGAGCCAAAGATCGTTTTTTTTTCCAAGCAACCACCGCGTAACACCAAAGAACGACTCCCTCGTATTGTTGTTGTTGTTGTTGTTGTTGTTGTTGTTGTTGTCTTCACATTAAAAACCGTTCCGAACTCTCTACCCAGTACCTTCGTATGTCCGTACTGATCCAACACTCGACGCGGTCGATTCCCGTGGTCGCATGCTAACTTACCTAAAAAGGTACACTCAAATAAAATGGCCCCGAGGAGTCCGCAAGTCAAAAGAAATCAACGACAGATATTCTGGAGTCCTCCACTCCCTCTGCGCGCTATGCGAGGTAACAACTGAGACTAGTCTAGGTGTCATCATCACGGGTCGGAGAGAATGAGGTACACCCCCTTGGTTCAATCTTGGTACTTGACAGCGCAAGCAGAGACAAGGCCATCTGGCACAGAAAAAGAGAGAAAAAGAGAAGAAAATACAAGGAAACAGTAGGGAAAGAGAACGTGAAAAAAAAAGAGCGAGGACAAAAAGGGACCAGGCCGAAAATAACAAGGAATAAGAGACAGAAAAAGGCATATGGTGGAGAGACCACTAACGACAAGCAAACACGCAAACATGGCCACCAANGACAGCGCAAGCAGAGACAAGGCCATCTGGCACAGAAAAAGAGAGAAAAAGAGAAGAAAATACAAGGAAACAGTA